CCCATCAAACATTGGAGATTCAACTCTAGCCTGTTGATAAGGGATGACTACACAAAATGTTTGAGATCACAGTTTTCACGTTTCCTTGAGTTGAATGATTCCACTGAAGTGTCGAGAGGTGTACTATGGGAAACGTCGAAAGCCTACACGAGAGGCCAGCTTATAGCTTTGTTTCAAAATTAAAAAGAAAGAGCTTTCTTACACGGCCAGTTTATTGAATAAGATCAAAGATCTAGATGGCAGATATGCATCAAACCCAGATCCTAACCACTATACAGAACGTGGGAAAGTTCACGCCAGTCTCAATTTAACCACCACCACAACAGCTATGGTTCGATTAATTAAGACAAAGCAACGCTTTTTTTGAATCCGGTGATACGGCAGGGAAACGTCTGGGTCCGACATAATATCGGACCCAGAGGGAATTAATGAAGTATTTGTTAGTTTCTATTTCGATCTGTACACTTCAAGCTCTCCACCTCTATCAGATGAAACTCTCCAAAATATACATTTTCCAAGAATAGACAGAGATCTGACGAAGGGATTAGGGGGACCAATTACTGTAGTAGAGGTGCAAGAGGCCATTAAATCCTTAAACACGGGTAAATCGCCGGGCCCTGACGGCTACTCTGCAGAATACTATAAAGCCAGTTCTGATCTTATGGCACCGTTGTTGAAAGATATGTATAATGAAGCCTTTTCAAAATGTCAATTACCCAAGACTTTGTCCGAAGCTGCTATTTGTTTAATCTTGAAAAAAAGACAAGGATCCTCTGCTGTGCAGCATTTACGGACCAATTTCTCTTTTAAATATTGATTTTCAAATACTTTCTAAATTCTCGCACTTTGGCTACAACGTGTTCTGCCACAAATCATCTCCTTCGATCAGACGGGTTTCATGGCCGGCAGGCACTCATATGATCATTCAAGACGCCTCTTGAATATTATCCAGACATCGTGCAACTCAATTCCAGAGGTTGTGGTATCTCATGACTCAGAGAAAGCTTTCGACCGCGTCGAGTGGAGCTTCCTCTACGAGGTGATGGATAGGTTTGGCTTGGGGGCTGACTTTATTCTCTGGGTTAAGTTACTGTTACTGTTACTCATCATCATCAATACTCAGCTCGCCACTCCCTTTCTCTCCAACCCTTGTTGGGAAGAATCCAATAGCTAAGGAAACGGTAACTATTTGGCGACAGTTCAGAAGATACTTTGGGCTACGTGGGCCGTCTTTGCTAACACCTTTACTAAAGAATTGCAATTTTGCACCTTCAAACACTGATGCGGCCTTTAGAAGTTGGAAAGATAAAGGACAGGATTGTTAAGGACTTGTACAGTCAGGACACCTTTCTATCTTTGCTGACCTGTCGTCTAAATACAACCTGCCTGAGTCCAACTTTTTCGTTATCTTCAGGCTAGAGATTTTGTAAAAAAAGCAGTTCCCTCATTTTCCCAATCGGCCTCCAGAAACAAATCTGGATATCATCCTGCAGACGAACCCTCATCAAAACAGACTGATATCAGCCTGGTATAAAATACTAGATGCTTTGGTTCCCAAACCAATTTCTCCTACTAAGCTGAGATGGGAGGAAGAGCTCCCAGAACAGCCGTGGGATTCTGCTTTCAAACTGATTCACTCGTCCTCAATTTGTGCCCGTCATGCTTTGATTCGGTGCAAGGTGGTCTATAAAGTACACTATACAAACACAAAATTATCTCAAATCCATCCAACCATTACTGATGCCTGTAGCAGATCCGGACTATCACCTGCCAACCATGTCCACATGTTCTGGTCTAGTTCTAAACCGAGTGCATTTTGGAGGGATATATTCGACACACTTAGTCAAGCATACGGCCAGACTGTCCCTCCTAACCCACTCTCCGCAATGTTTGGCATCCCCCCCCAGTTTAAAGTAATCTGCCCCCCTTAAAAAGGCCTCAGCCTTTACCACTTTACTGGCTCGGAGGCTTATTCTGTTGAAGTGGAAGCTTCCCCACCCAAACTCATGACCACTGGGTGAGGGACGTACTCTTTAACTTAAAGTTAGAAAAACTTAGATTCTCTCTGAAAGGTTCAATTAGGAAATTTAACAAAACCTGGAAATCATTCCTCTTACTGGTGGACACCATTACTTTACTTCCTGAGACTGAAGTGAACTGAGCGAGGATACATTATGAAGCTTTGGGGTTTTTGGTTATGCTTGTTACTCACTTTCTTTTGTGTGTGTGGTATGTGGATGTGGACGTGGAGGAGGGAGAATTTGGGATTTGGGGGGTGTTGGAGGGTATAATGGACATACATTGTTCTGAAATGAAAATCGACTTTGCTGTTGCTGACTCTGTGTGTCATGGCTGAAATCAATAAAACAAAGCTGGAATCATTTCAAATGTCTTACTTCAGGTTGCATCATGTTCTTCAGTGTAATCAGGTAATTGGAGCGCACACACACACACACACACACACACACACACACACACACACACACACACATTAATGTTAATCCACTTTTACAGCACAGTGAAAAGCTGTGGGATGCTTAATGTAACATGAGGATGTTCCCAAGAAGAAATATTTTTACTCTGTCAGTCCTGCCAATACAAGACGACCAAAATCACATTTGAATGCATTTAAAACAGCAGGATTTCTCCTCAGTATACCATCTCTGATTTCTGTTTTTGTTTGTTTTGTTTTTTAAATTGACTATATATATTCTTGTGCACAGCTGGATTTTTCTTTTTGCATTTCCAGTCAGTGAATTTCACTTTTGTTAAACTGTGAACCTGCATGGATGCTGCAAATCAGAACAAAGTACCAGCACAACCGTGCTGCTCAGCAATGCCTTCAATCACGTCAACATCCATGAATAAGATCACAGATCAGACATGGTTTATGTTTGGTACAATTAATGTCAAATTCAGCACCCCCCCCAATAAAATATTGCATCTGGTTACCTGCTGCCTGTTCTGGAGGGTTTTTCCAGTCTCGGTGTTGGACTGCTTTATGCTGGAAGACGGTGTTGTGGGAGGGCGTGTGGAAGCTGAAGCTTTTTGGATGAATAACTGGGGGTCTGCAGTAAGGCAACGCACCGCAGGAAGACTTTTCTGGTGGCAATGAGGAAAAACGCCAGTAGAAACAGAGATGTCATCAGCTAAATATGGAACAGTCTAGCTATGATCAATGTGATTCACATCCTTTCAGCAAAGTGTAACGCAGTCTACACAAATACAAAAAGGTTTAATTTTAAAACAAACAAAAAAACCGGAAGCCTAAAAGCAAAAACGAGATGAGGAAGCAACACGCTTCTCAATACCTTGAGAAAAGGCACCAAGCAGGGTTGTGGAGTCGACTTCAACGTGTCATAGAGCTGCTCCGTAAACGCTTCTGCTTCCAGTTTCCCTTCCTGCAGGTAAAAACAATTCATCAATAAATAAATAAGCCGGTAATTTAATAATGAACTTCATGATAAGAATTAAAAATTACAAATGTGTAGCACAACACAACAAGAATACAACAACTTATTAACTCTTACTAACAAGCCTCTTTCAGTCTGCCTAGTAACAACACTTTTTGTAAACAAGGTTAAAAACAACAAGAGAAATAAAGAGACGTACCAGCAGACTCCTGACCAGCGCTTGGACATTGTTAGCCATGTTCACAGATCTGGAGTCACTGGAGGCCAGCTTGATCAGCGTTACCAAGAAGTTCTTGCACTTCTTCACACTTTCCAGCGTCTCCTGTTGGGGAAATATTTAGTAGTCACATCTCATCTATCCACTGTTATCTCAGCTGTTATCATCTACTCTAAAAACTCCATTTGTGGAGCTTTTTGTTGTGTTTTTTGTGAGAGGATATCCCTCATATGGATTTCTCAGAGACATCGGTAAGCACTGCACTCCTAACTAAACTCTGTTCTGACTGGCTGTCCCTGACAAAGTTGGTTTAAAGAGGAAGAACTAAGCGGCTACACCAGTATAACAAAGATTAGTCTGAACTGGAAACTGTGTGAAAAGATTTCCTCTTTGACAATAAATCCTTGGATTTTATAAACAGTATCAGTAAGAATCTAAATAAAAACTAATTTTATGGTCAAACTGAGTGTGCAGGTGCTGGGCCTGGTCGCGCTCACCTTGCTAAACGTGGGCACTGATTCCTTTTTAGCGCCTGCAGCCTGAGAGCCAGCATGGCTGCCTCGCTCAGACACCACGTTCACCGTCTGGACAAGAGCTGGTTTGGGGGCAACACCGATGACCTGAACACAATGTCCCCAAAAACTAAAACCAGGAACAGGAAAGAAAAGCATCACAGCAGCAGCTGCCTCTCTGGGGTTTGTTGCTTATTTGTTTATGTTTCATTGGAGAGCTCTGCTTTTACTCAACTATTAAACTGCAACTTTCCAGCATCATTCTGTTTTCATTAGAGTTATTGATTAAAGATGAAGTATTGTTATTAACACAAAGTTCAAGCTTCAAATACTTCAAATGAAAACAGATGTGTCCATCAGTCGTGTAATTATTGCATCGATTGTTTTTTCTTTCTATAATACCTAAAAGAAAAAACTAACTGTCAGAGGTGCACACAGTTATACACTGCATAACCTGCTATCAGTGACTGTGAGCTGCAAACAGACTAATTTTACCACAGCAGTCTTCTGGACTGGTGCTGCTTTCTGGAAACTGGAAGTAGGCGTCATCTTGATCACGGTTACATTCTCATTCCTTTTACTTTCAGCTGCTGCACACACCTGAACAGCAGACATGCAGCTGACATCACAGGTGCAATCACACATCTGTCATCATTATATAACATAGAAAAGCAGCCGCGCACATGCACCCACCTGTGGTGCAAGTATCCTGGTGGGTTGACCACTGATAAGTCTTTGTCCCTGCTGAGCCTGAGCCAAAGCCTGCTGAGATACTAGCATCAGCTGCCCACTGTCACTGCGGATCAGCATCATACCTGCCATAAATGTAGCCCAAACACTACAATAAACTGATGAATTCTCCTTGCAGGTGACAGCACATGACCAACAAGGTTTTGGGATATAATAAAGGAGGATCTGTAATCAGATTACAGTGTAGACTACAGTCAGCGGGTTGTGCAGCTCACCTGGAGGTATCTGGATATTGGCTGGGAGATGGGTGGAGGTGGCCTGTGGCAGTCGAGGAGTGACTGGCTGTGCAGTTGCTGATCTGGGAACAGTTATCAGCACCGTCCTTCCTGTGGTTGTAAGCTGTTTCACGGAGGCCACCTGGTTCTGAGGCTGTTTCGTTGTCTGTTGGTTACCTGCACTCACTCCTGCACTTGCAACCACCATAACAGGTGAGGTGCGAGGCCCTGACACCGTCACTGCACAGGGTGAAGGCTGGCCACTCGGGATGACTTTAGGTGGGGCTGAGACAGAGTCACTCTGTGACGTGCTTGCAGCTGTGACAGGACCGTGTTTGGCAGCGACTTGTATCCTGACTTGAACAGAAGTGTCTCCATCCCCGGGTGCTGCCTGGGGATCCAGCCTGTTAGCTTCAGTGTTGTTAGCTTCAGTGTTGTTAGCGGCCATGACTGCAGCTGAACGAAAGAAGGGTTCAGCTTCAAAGCAAAAACATAGTTAAATACAACAAAGGAGTTTACTGCTTTTCAAAAGCGCC